AAGGGAAATAAGGGAAACGCAGGGAAAGAAAATAGCAGAGAAACCTAACGCACATTAAATACAATTTACTAGAGGAAACATCGGCAATCGAAGGAAACTTAATAAACCGGTTAAAGAAGGGAACGAAGCGAAAGAAAAACGGGCGCGACGAAGCGGAAACGGCGACATGTTTAATGGAAGAGAGTGGAAGAGAGTCAGGGCACAGCGTATGAAGTTGGCCGGAATAGAGCTCGGCCAGGGCCAGGCGCGGAAATCTATTGCAAAATAATAAGTTATCTGCCGGCGACTTTTGCCGACGTGTCGTCCGCGGCTGCTTTCTCCCCGAGGTTACCTCATTATTTCTAACTGATGACGCTATAATTCAGCTTCTCGCGACGTACAAGAAAATGGACTTCCCGGCCTCGTCTTGCACTTCGTCGGAACCTCTAACTCTCGTCTCTTCCCTTGGTTCTTCGCTCAACCAGTAAGTGTGTATGTGAGAGAGAATGAGTGAGAGAAAGAGAGAGAGAGAGAGAGAGAACGGCGACAACGGCGCACAGTGTCTGGCCTTGCTATTCCGTCCAATTAAATGCCTAATCAATTATCCGCCAGTAGAGGGACGAGTTCACGCCCTTTCTTGCTCGTAGCTCCCGAAACACGTTCTCCTTGTCCCGTCAGCCGCCCTGCCGCGAAGAAATTACCAAGGTATCAAGGGGATCACCCCTGACCACCCCCGTGTTTCTGCCGCCTCGATAATTGGCCTACCCAACTTGCCGGAATTCGTGCAAGCCTGAATTCGTGTCGCGAACCTGTCAAACAACATTGTTCGTCCTTCAGGCAGCGCAGCCTGCTTTGGGATTTCGTGATGAGTATTTTGTGAAAGATTTATGTTTAGTGGCGTTTAATTGTCGCGTCGTGATTCGAAGAACGTTTCACTCGATTAAGTTTGATTTATGGAACTGGTATAACGTAGCTGTGTCGTGGTTAATTGAGATGGGGATTTTAAAGAAAGATATGACATTTCTCTGACTTGAATAAATCGTTTCACACAATCTACGTATCTCTGTATCTTTGAAACTACTGTAATCTTCGGATTTTTATGTTTCAATCTAACCTGGATCTCTCGTTCCAGCAAAGGAAAACGTTCTGTAACGTTGGAAGAGGACGTTTAACGTAAGATTGAGACGAGAAGTCACGCGTGCCAATGAGAATTTTCTCATATTTTGTTCGAGATTGGTATAACATTAGAAAGGTACAATTGGGTATTTAAAAATAATCAAAAGATTCGGCATTACGTTTCACATGAATATGTAAAACTCAGCTATCTAATTATAACCGTAAACACAATCCAGAATTATCTTGTACCTAAACGTAGTCCATGTTAATATTTTTCTATTTTTGTCTGAAATTTCTTTGGGAAAAAGAAAAAGAACAGAGACTACTTTATTAAATAATCTGTACTTTGATCAGTAGCATTTAATGAATAGAGAAACCGAATATTTAATCTATGTTTAATCCACATGGTATTATTCTTAACGAATAAAGGAATCGAATCTATATTTGTTCTATATAATAGATAACGAATAATGAAACTGAAACGAAATGCCTCATAAGACTCCACTATGTTATTTTCCATCGTTTCGGCTCACGTATGTATATTCGGCACACGACTATTAACAAGAACGAGATGAGAATTACACGTGATTTCACAGATCTGAGAATTCGACCAACGTTTCGTTTTGCTGATGGCGTACTAATTAGAAGGTCGCCAGCAAGGGAAACGTTCCCGTGGTGGAAAAGACCGAAGATGAGAGCCACAGAGTTCAAGATAGAGTCGCGTGGGAGGTAATTTAGGAATTTGAGAGGGAGGAAATTTAGTAAAGCCTTGACCGTGCACAGGGCTCATCTGCCGGTCTTACGAACCCGACGCGAAATTAACGCTTTGTACGCGGCTTCGAAACTGCGAAACACCGCGAAGTAACGCCGGTGTATAAAAGGCCGCTTCATTAACTTCGTTACAAAGAACTCTTCCCTTTCTCCTCTCGCCTCTGTTGCGCATATGTATTCGTGGTATCAGTTAACATCTTGGCGATCTTGGTAAAATCTGTAACTTCTACAACTTTTCCTCCGAGCGTCGTTTTGACAAAAAAAGATCTCCCAATGAAGAACAATTATCATTAGGAATTACGGGAGAATCATTGGGAAGAGGTGACAATATGTTTTCTTTTCATTTTGGGAAAAATAGCTTAAGAATTTTCAGGAAAAATTGTAAGGAATTCATGTGGGAAAATAATTGGAGAATTTTTAATGAAACTGTAGTATGAATGTGTATAGTAAATAATTTAGATAGGAAATGACAATACGTTTGTGGTGAGTAAATAGTTTGAGAAGTGTCAAGAGAAATGGTAGATAAATAAGAGAAGATAATTTATTGAGAATTTTAATGAATATTGTAAAACGAATTTACATGGTAAATAATTTGGAAGGGAAGCGACATTAAATTTGTAAATGAAAATTTACGGAGCCTTGTTATGGAACGCTTTTACATTGGACATTACAATATTTTACATAAATTAATACTTTATATTTGCTATTTTATTAATATTTCGTAATGAATATTTTATCATGTGTTTAATACAAATTATAAATTATAAATTAATATTAATTTATCATTATAAATTAAATTGTTCAATAAAATAACAACCATATACATACATAGCTGATGTAGAGCGATTATATTTACGGTACTTTGATTGTGTTGTACGATTATAATGAAAGATCACATTAATTCCACAATGTTATTTATTTGTAATAAATTTTAAGATACATGCACGCGTAAGAAATAAAAGGACTATTGAAATGATTTTCAGAATGAAACGTCCATGCATAATGAATTCACAGTAATATGTCTGGCTAAAGACGGTTCATTACTACTTCCACTGCTTTGCTCCGTATCACACATGTATTCTTCGTTTATCTTGCATATAATCATCCTGTAATTTTTCTCTATAAATTTTTAATATCCTTGCATGAAAATTAATTATTATGCTTCCTAGAAATCTAGAGAGATTTATATAAAGTTAGATTATGTTTTTGAAATAAACCATATTTTTGTTTCTATATAATGACAAAGAAAAAGGCGAATTCGATACGCTGTCTACAAGTGATCTTGATAAAAGAGATTTTATTGAAACAGATACAAAGCTTTCTATTTCTTTACTTTCCGTTCAAAGCGTGCTCAAATAATATTTGACATATGTATATCTCGTATCGTGATATGACAACTTGCATTGCCTACATCATTCTCAAAAAAGTCATTTTATAAAAACTATTGCAACCAATTAAATATACGATCATACGAAATATAATTGTTTAATTATATTTAAACAATTATTCGATAACATTTATTCAATTTCGATGAAAGGTAAACGCAAATCGTAATTGCGGTTTTATAACACGGAACCAGGAAGAGGAAATGCACTTGTTTGGCGTACATTGATAGCATGAAAACAAAATAAATAAATTTGACATATATCTGATACTATCCTAATATGAAAGCATCATTGTCTTTAGATAAAGGTTATACGAAACAAAGCAATACGTGAACACAGGAAAATAATTCTATATGGTGTGTCAGTACCACAGAAACACAATGACCAGATATCAATAAACAAATGATGAGAGAGCAGCAGTTATCGATGCAACAATTAGTAGAGTCATGATGAACGGTTTCGGGCGTTAAAGCGTGCTGGACAAAACCGATCGAAGAAGGTTTATTGAAGACAGTTTAATCGGTCGTTAATTCTTGCTTGAATTGTAGAACACATCCGCTACAAGCTGGTCGAAATTTTACGCAGATCGCCGATTAGTAATTCAATGGACGCCGGCTGGATTGAAAATTTCCCCCGGAGTAGCGGTGATTTAAATGAAAATGATTTGCGCGGCACGCGTAATATGGGATAATTGCGTTTCGTGCGGGACTTAATGGAGTTACGCCATTTTAATTATACATCTCGCGTCGGATCGTGTTTTCCTCTGTGGCGTATTCTTCGGGCCCCCGGTTTTTCATCGCGTTACCATCGCGACTTTTATTCAGTTTCGATGAAAGGAAAACGCCATTCGTAATTACGGTTTATAACGCGAAACCAGGAAGAAAGAGGAAACGTGCTCGTTTGACGTTTATACTTATATTTTCCGTTAAAATATCGTGAGGAATTTTTCATGGAAATTTACGTAAATTACCGTATCCTTGTGGAAATGGATTTATCGAATTTCAAACTGTAGAAAATATTTAGGTTGAAAAGCAAATGGAACGGGGCGAGAGAACTGTGGCTGGTGGAGTGGGGAAGTTTCCAGTCGACAATATGGAAACGAGAGAGGGAAAATCGAAGTTACAAGAAATTTATCAGGCAGTAAAGTTATGAAAGTGATGGAAGAAACGTTCCTTTTCGAGATTTCGATCGATGGCAAACGCGACTATCATTTCCAACGGTTTTAGTATATTTTCATTTGTCAGGAACCGTGTTTGCTTTTCCTGCTTGATAAAATCCGTCGTTTTGCGTTTATTTTACGCTATAGATACAACTAGATTACAAAAATGTTACGTTAATTTTACGTTGTGGATATAACTACGTTGATGTTACTTTATATCTACACAGCATAATCATTTTTTGAATAATTTTCTGCCTAATACGTTTTAATAAATTCATAGTATGAATAATTAACGATGATAATTTATCATACAGATTCGTTTACAGTAGCTTTAGCTTTTTCCATTTTTGTTCGTTTGTAATTATTTAAATTCCGTTTGAATCATATTTGAAATTTGGAATTTCAGAAATGGAATATTTTAAAATATTTATTGGAAATATAATGAATTGCCATTATAAGACCATTCTAGTCGAGACAAGACCTTTTCACATTTAATCCAGTTTAAAGTAGAACTTTAACAAGTTGGCTAATGATAGAATGGTAGATCGATTACGCCAACGAGTAAGATTTCGAATTGATTTCGTTTTCAGGTTTCCGGGCATTTATACAACACCGGTCAGTTCCTGGTATTCAGAGCGGATCGGGAAGCGAAAGTGCGAGTCAATATAACAGGTGGCCCACTCGCCTATCATTATCAATTCGAGGAGATCTACATACACTATGGAATGGATAACGATTACGGATCGGAGCATCGCATTAACAACTACGCTTTTCCTGCAGAGGTGAGTAAAAGGTTTAAGAAATTAAACGCGAGCGTGTTCCATTTCGCGAAAACGATTGCCGTTAGAAGAATATTTATTATAAGTGAAATTTAGCTGAAAGCTTACCAGAGAAGAGAAATTATAAGATTGTCCATTAAAAAGTGATTATGAGAATTTATTAAAATATGCAAGGTACAAAATTATGAAGAGAGAATGTTATATTCCTAAACCGTAGCTAAATATTACACAGGCAAACACATATTCTTCGTGCACAAAAATCGTTGAAATCTATTTCTATTTTGTAAAAACGATTGAAATGATAAAAATCAAAAATGATCGCTTGACAAACCGAGAAAGAATGTCGCGCAAAACGTAGCGAAATTCGTTAACAATTTTATGGCCGCCGGTTGAAAAGTCGAAATTCCAGAGACTTCGGTCGTACGCGGAATTTAATATCTGCAGTCCGGTGAAACTTGATAAAATCCGGTCATGAAATTGGGAAAAGAAACAGGTAAAAATAACAGAACAGAGAAAGAAACGATTTCATATCACTTAAGCTACGAAACGAATCTAATTTCAAACAATATCACTGTTTTATTCTGTACAAAATAAAACTATGGAATAGAAAAATAGAGGGAATTCATTCGAATGAAATTAAAATATAAATTAGGAATAACGTATTTAACGTACGGTGGGAAATTATTTGTTAAGCGAAAAATTTTAAAGTCATTGAATTTTTCACCGACATTGATCATATTGATCATTCTCGACTCAATATTGATGGTTCTCGTTGAAAATCTATCAGTGCCTCTGCCTTTAATTATATATTATCACGAGTCTTCGTTTCAATGTGGAAATCGAAATCATCGAAACGAATCTCTTTCGTGTCTCTCTTCCCATTTTCAGTTTAACGTTGAAAAAGTAAATTCAGTTGTTTCCTGTTTTCATCTTTTTTTTTTTTTTTACTGTGCCGCTCCAACAGAACAAATGGTAGGCAATTTTTGTCTGTCCACTTTTTTTTACGCGTTGCTGGTCCCATGGTCGTTCTTGCTTATTGCCTAAAAATTGCATTCTGACGAAATTCAAAATCACACAGCGTGTCGGAGCTATGGGATGAAGAAAGACACGAGGTAGTAAATTATCAAGTGACATATGGTCGGACCACTTTAGAATTCGAGAAAGTGTAATTAAAGTGTGCAGGACACGTAGGCACCGAGAGATCTACGAAAATAATTGAAACGATGTACGATAAAATCCATAAACTAATTTTGTCAAATTTTATTCTATCTGTTCGACGCTGTATTGCTAGATTTAATTAACACGCCATTATATTAAAATTGAACAATCATATTTTGTACCAATTATTAATTTTAATATTTCCAATATTAAAATGAACACTCCTCAATCGATAAAATGCTAGCTATACTAGGTTGAAAGTACAAAACAGCCTAAAAAATATTAGTTAGATCTCTGATATTCGTAACGAGAGTCATCAACGAATCATGGACAAGGTTAAGGGTGCAACCAGGACGCAGGAACCTGACAGCGTAGTTAATCGAAATTAATCACGGAGCCGACTTAGTAACGAGACAAATTAAACATTCGTTAAACGCGACGTGACGATGACCCAATTAACTGCGACCTGCTCATCCTGCCGGCAAGCAGACCCTCTCCACGTGCGACCCAATTCTCGTCTCCTGGACGGTCGGCGAACCGCGAAAGAATATCGTCGAGCTACGTTGCCCGTCCTCCACGACTTCTCGATTTTAATTAGTGTAGAAGGCAACACGCTCGTTTCCACGATTTTGTTCCCCGTGGCGGAAAAATATAAAAGTTACTTTTCCTGGGAGTCACCTTGGACTTCCAAATTAGGCTATGATGTTGGAGGAATTAATGTATTTGATATTTTACTCGTAGACGTATATTTTCCATATGATTTTGGAATTCCTTTTTTACTGATACATCGACGATGATAATTTTTTTTTATTGAAAAATGCAATTATACATTATTCCACCACATACACTATTTTACATCACAAAACACGAATTACACGTATAATATATTCTTAAACTGTTAAGTATCATTTTTAAAAAATGAAACAAAGTAACGAACGGACAATGACAACGTGACAGATGTCAATTGATTTTGCTTTCAATAATAAAGGAACGAAAGTAGAAAGAAAATTATTTGAATGACAAAGATCCATCTTAAAAATACGAGGGAGAAAAGATCGTCTCGCATTCAGAACCATTTAATTAAAGAAAAAAATAATTAAATAACTTCATTGGCTTTTGAGGAACCAACTTGTAGCACTTATAATTTCATGAGCTGGGTATCTTTAAAAACCAGTAATTATCTCACTCGATGCTATCCTAAAATTGTAGAGATGATATAAATACGGTGCAGTATTAATATACGCACACAGTATTCTACCGATTGATATTTCGCGTCTCACTACCTATTTCGATGAAATTAATATCGGATTCTCGATAAAATTCCAACGAAAGTAAATACAGCTCCGCATGATCAAATGGAAATATCCAAATAATCTCCATGCAAATATCCAAAAATTTGATAACACTTTATCTCCGTCATTCATTGTATTCACTAACGAATTCATTTATACCATACGAAACCATATTCGTCTAATATAAGTAGTCAATGGTAATTTCTTCTTTCTTTTTCCTTTATTCCACTTAAACATATTTTTAATGTGTCTTATACAAATAATCTATTACTATTTTAAATGAAACGCAGAAAACCATTCATCTTCCTTCACAAGCCAAAAGTTTGCGAATGAATATACTCGTTGGTAAAAATGATCAATCTTATTAATTGGTTAAAATAATCCAACTAATCTTTCTACTATCAAATACAAAAACACGTATGAAAATCAAAGAAATATCAATACCAATATTGCAACACTGTCTTTCTGAATCACCAAAAAAATAAAAAGAAGTAGAAAGAAACTATTTTCCACTTCAACTGCCCTTCAAACTATCTTACACTTGTCCATACCTCTTCAAACATTGCAAACTTGCAACTTGCTCTTTCACTATCGATATAACTCTTAGAATTCCCACATTTGACATGAACAAACCGGATCAAACGACGTCAAACCACACAGAAAGAAGTTGCCCGAATGGATCATAAGCCGGAAAACAATTATTTTCGAATCAACGCGGCTGCGACGCGGTTGAAATCGATTCGAGGTTAATCGAGCACATAATTCAGCGGCAACGCTGCGTGTTTGCACGCAGCAAATCCGAAATCCACACGCGAGCAGGTGCGAGCGG